GTATAGTCTGGACCTGCAGCTTTAGGGTTAGGGTATAGTCTGGACCTGCAGTTCATCCAGGTGTCAGCCAATATGCCTTTTTGTTTCTTCTAATTGTGCACGTATCAACCATGAAGTGATGGACGTTTACGAACCTCGAACACATGAACTAAACGCTGAAGAATTCGAAGCTTGTGAACCTGAGGATGTTGAGCGCCGCAGGCCTTCCCCCTGCAGAGACACAATGCTGAAGTTTCATTGTCACAGAAACTCAGCTGCATGACAATAAACCAAAAACCAGCTGTTGGAACAGCTGCTGCTGCTGGACACCAGCTGTGCAGGTTGTTGGAACAAAACAACTCAAACGTGTACCAGCAGCTGATCGTTGGTCTGTGGTGTTGCATTCATGTAAATGGTATCCCCACTAATTGATTTCATGTCTTGTTTATTGTCTGTCTTACATACTTTACTAAATCTTGTACATGTGCTGCAGAGCCGAGCTGTGTTCCTGTTTACATGTAAACTCATATTATCAAGTCATCATGTGTAAAGCACAACACCAATAAAAAGTTGGTGTTCAAGTACAATTTGGATTAGAAGTTAAAGACTTTGTAACTTCCTTCTTGAAACCTTCTTATGAATAAAGTTTTCTTCTCTGTTGCTGATGTTTTCTAATTTAAATGCATCCCAGTGCATCGTCATGTCTGCATCCTGCCACTGGGCAGCACAACCCCACATAAAGCTCATAGTCATTTGTTTTCAGGGGGTTTTCCTGCAAAAATGTAGTTGCTGGCGGCGGTAAACATAGACTTTGACTAGATTAGAGAACTGGGCCGTTGGGTTAAAAGTGCTTTATAACATGAATCATGTCTTTTGAAATTCTCCAACAGAAGCAGCGGAGCCACACCTCCGGATCGCCCTTGTTGGGAAAACCGGAGTTGGGAAGAGTGCGACAGGAAACACACTGTTAAGAAAAAGGGTTTTTCATTCTAAACTCTCGTCTTCTTCACTGACATCAGAGTGTCAGAAGGAAACAGCAGAGTTCGGTGGTCAGACGCTGGCTGTGGTCGATACTCCAGGTCTGTTCGACACCAGTAAGACTGAGGAACACGTGAGGAGCGAGATCGCTAAATGCATGTCGTACGCTGCTCCTGGTCCTCATGTGTTCCTGGTTGTTCTCCAGCCAGGCAGATTCACCAAAGAAGAGCAAGACACAGTGAAAATCATCCAGCAGATGTTTGGAGAGAAGGCAGCAGCGTACACCATGGCTGTGTTCACCCACGGAGATGACCTGAAGGATGAAGAGCGCTCCATCGAGGAACTGATAGCAGAAAATCCAGCTCTCCGTGACTTCGTCAGTCAGTGCCGTGGAGGATACCATGTTTTTGACAACAAAGACAAAAGTCCAGGACAAGTGAGTGAGCTGCTGAAAAAGATCAATACGATGGTTCAGAGAAATGGAGGAAGCTACTTCACCAACGACATGTTCCAGGAGGCTGAGCGAGCGATACGAGAAGAGATGGAGCGACTTCGGAGGCAGAACCCCTCAATGGAATTAAAAGAAGCAAGAAGACTGGCGGAGAAAGACAACCGGTTCAATCGGGCCGTCCGGCAGGGCGCTGCCATTGGAGCTGTGGCTGGCTTTCTGGGAGGTCCAGTGGGAGCTGCAGTGGGAGCTGCTGTGGGAGCTTTACTGGGAGCGATAACTGGGGCCGTGCAGAAAAATGCATGCAGCATACAGTGATGGGCTGTTGTCTGTTAGCTGCAGCTCATAGAGCCGCTGCAACATGGAGCTGCAGGAACATCATCAGCATAGTGTCTTTACCAGTAACTTGTCTGTTTTAGCTGTTACTTCTGTATTTTAGAAATGAGTCTTATATGAAAGCTACAATGTGGGATTTCTACATTTAAGTTAAGCAAAGTAAGGGCTTGAAAGTACCAGATGCTGAGTCAGTCTGAGTTCTAACTACATCTCTTTGTGTTTCACCGTTCACCAGCGTTTGACATGTTTCTGTGGTGGTGATTCTTTTGAAGTCAACCAGCAGTGGTTTGGTTCTTTAGAGCTGAATAGGGGAACGAGGACTGGCAGTGTGGTTAGAATATGGATGGAAAGCTTCTGATGCTGAGGAGAAAAAAGAAAGTTCAGTGGAGAAAGAAACACATCAACAGTGTTTGTGCAATTACTCTCACTGCCACAAGGGGGCGACTTGAAGTTCCACATTGCAGGTTTCATTTCTGTTAATATTATCAATTATTCTGTTTGTCAAACATTCTGTCATCAGGCCTGCCCTATAAACCACTGACAGGGGAAGTGAAAACCTGATCTTGTGCTCAGTGAGTATCATCATGATACCGTGCTAGGACGCAGGAGAACAGTCGTTGGGTTAGGGTTAGTAGGGT